AGGACGGTCCAATGCATCAACCTTGATAACAGTGTTGATCACAAGGAAGGAAATGAAGATCATCGAGAATCTAGATCAGTTTAAGAAATATGTTATGATTAGAACCCGCAACAAATTGAAGTTGAGATCGGGAATTGGAAAACGGTGAAATCAGATATCTAATTTCATTGTTGCTAGAGAAAAGTATAATGGAAACTGCCATGGAGATATCAATAAATAACAAGTCAGTAGAATATTGTTATGTTTTCTCCTGTTTGGTGTGTGAGAAAGCATGACCTTGGTTGATGGAACTTGCGTTTGGTGTGTGAGAAAGCTTGGTTGATGGAGCTTGTGTTTGGTGTGTTAGACCGCATGACCTGTATATACCCTGCATACGTAAGCATACATGTATATACATATACATGATTATGCATACATACGTATGTATGTATAAACACAGGTGTATAAATAAGGTGAGGGTGAATGGTGAGACGGAAACGAAAACGAAAACGAAAAAAGCAGGTGCACGCCTCATCAGTATGCAATTTTAGTTGGATTTTTATTTACTCTATCTTTTAATTCCACAATCATTTCAATTTCACAGTTGAATCGCACAATTCTCAAATTTCCAAAACAATTTCCATTCCTGAATTGAAGAAATCAAAAGAATATAGCAGAAATTTCACAGTTGAATTACACAATTCTCAAATTTTCAAATTCCTTCCGTTTCTAAATTAAAGAAATCGAATAATAAGCAGGAATTTCCGAAATAGACAAGAATCAAGTTGAATTGTAAGATGCAAAGCAGAAAACGAAGCGGCCACTAATGGCGAAAGAAGAAACCAGAACAAAACCTGTTAGGAATCCATAGCAATGACGTATAAATATCAAAGCGAAATTTCATACAGTATACGTATCTCCGGCTAGTTCGAACCGAGTGACAGCGCCGAGGCTCTCTTTTCCTCCTCCATCTATTTCGGCGCCCTCTCCCTTCCGATTTCAGTCTCACGAGGAAGAAAATAATCTGCGCGCGCGAGACTCCATCCTTTTCCGATATGCAACCTCTCTTCCTTCGTCCAGTTGAAAATCGATCAGACAAACCAAACTACATTGTCTTCTGCTTCGTTCTCGCATTCTCATTTTCAGAAGCTTCTTCTTCGAATGTGCTTCTCTCGCGCCAGCTGCTGCCCTCTGGTCTCAGCTCCTCCTACGGGACGAGCTTGAAACAAAGCGTGACTTGGGCCCCAAACATTCCAATGGGCCTCAACTTGGACTCTCATAGGCTCTTTATATAGTAGATGACTTTTTACCCAATTTTCTTTTTCAATTTTATTATTTTTCGATTAAAATAAATGTTCCGTAAATTTTAAAATTATTGTTAAAATAGTTGTTCGTTAAATTATATAATTGTAATTAAAAATATAAATTGTATAATTATAATTAATATAATTAACATTTTTTAAAACACATAAATATGGTTTAATTATTTTAAATTTTTTATTAAAAAATAGAAAATATAAGTAATTAAATTGTAATAAAAATATTAAAAATTAAATTATAAAAAATACAAATTACTACATTTAATTTATATTTGTCTCTATTTGTTTGTTTGTTTGTTTGTTTTTTTTTTTGTATTTTTACCGAAAATGGATAAACAAAAAAAAAACATTCTCATCAATAATTATAAATTAAAAAAAAAATAAAAACCATAATCTATAATTTACTAGGAAATTCTATAATTAAAAATTAATTAAAATAAATAATTCAAACATAGAAATTGAAATTTAATTTAATATATTAAATTATTAATTTATTAATTTATAATAATATAATTATTAATTTCTATTATTGAAATTTCTAGAAGCGGAAAATCACGCGGTGTGCACGTGATCTTAAGAGCTGTTGGATTTTCTCTGTTTGATTCTATCAACCGCATTTAAACCTACTTTTCAATTCCGCCTCTATTTTATTTTTTATTTATTTATTTTCACACACACACACACTCACACACACTCTCTCTTTTGCTCTGTCTCTGTGTGCAATCTCTTAAACCGCCCTTCCTGTCCTCTCTTCTTCTTCTTCTTCTGCTTCTCCTTCTTCTTCTGCTTCTCAGCCCTAGGGTTTCTTCTTCATCGTCTTCGTCTTCTCTCGACGGTTTTCTTCTTTCTCTCCTCGCATTTCCTCCAACTTTCTCGCTCGTTGTGTATATTTCGTTCCACGCATCTGCTGATCGCTTTTGGATCTAGCTGTTCTCTCTGCGGCAATGGAGTTCGGTGCTGGCAGAAAGAGAGGGAGATATGAAGCTGCTTTTAATGGAAATGGAAATATTAAGAAATCTAAGCAAGGTCTGTTTCTTTCTTGCTTCATTTCTTTTTTAAAAACATTTCTCTGTTTATTTTTTCATTTTCTTGCTATTTCTATGCTCGCGGTGGTATTCTGTTCGTAGTGTCTTCTCGTGTGGTGGATATTAGTGTTTGTTGACCGTGTATGTGTGGTTTTATACTGGCTCTATTTTCAGCTTCTGTATGTGATTCTGGTGCTTCCCTGCTACTTGCTCGTTAGTTAGGAAGTTCATAAATGAAGGGAGAGCTTCTAGCCATATTTTTCGACACGTTCTTTGCTGTGAAGGAAGTGTTTGGGAAGTAACTCGGAGAAAAATATATATTTGTTAAGTGTGATAAAAGTTTCTGCATAATGATTAGTAGTAAATTGAATTTTAAGTTTGGATAAGCTCAAAACTAAGAAATTTGAGCTAGGGCTTACTCAGTAGTTGAGAGAACCAAGAAGATTAGTTTTGGCTGTGAACCTTTGTTCGAGACTCTATTTAGATCTTGAGCTTTTATGTGCTTGAGCTTTGTCTGGGTCACTTTTGTGCATTGTTTTCTTTGATGAGTGCTTGGGGGAGGGTTTAGAATGCTATACCTACACTTTCCATGGTCTGTGTGCTGTAAAAGGTCTGCAGGTAGATATCCTTTAACAGTATGCTGAACAACTTATGTTGTTACGTGAAAATGTGATATTTAAGTCATTATTTTCCCCTTTCTTTCTGTATGAGCAATGACTTGTGTGGGTACAGTCTGGTTTTTTTTCCTACAGAGAAACAAGAGCAGAAAGAAGGAAAAAATCTTCCCATTTTTTTTCGAAGAGTTTTTTAGTAGTTTGCTTTCCTTGTAAATGAATAACTTCAGCTGTCTCATCTCTTTACTTAGCAGAATCGAAACATAATATTTTTTTTCTGTGCAGTGTGGAAATTTATGTAATGAAGTAACTGATGTAATTTGAGTCGTGTGAGCCAACATTCAGTATTTTGACTACTAGGCATCGGAATGAAATTCATCTCCAGCTATTCTATTAACATGATTTTGTTTGTTTTGAAAAAAAAAAATTTATGCTAATTATTTGTACTCCATTGACCATTACTGTCATCAATGAAGAGAACTTGTAACTTGATACTGGGTATTCTTTGAAGTCCCAAGATTTATAACCCACTGAAATTGTAACTGAGATAAATTAATTAATGTTCTGTAACAGACATGGACTCCTTTACAACTGGTATAGGAAGCAAATCGAAGCCATGCACAAAGTTTTTCAGGTTCAAATCTAAATTTATCTAAAATAAATAGTCCAAATGCAATTCCATCTGTTTAAATCTATATAACTTGTAACTTTAAGAGAAATTCTTACGCAATCTTTTCAGGTAAAATTTTATATTTGAACTAATCAATTTGAGCACTTAAAGTTGTGATACAGGTGTATTTTTTGTTCTAATTACAATAACAAAGATTACCGAACTGAACAGCTGCACAGAATTGTAACAGAAAGTTGTTGTATGGAGTGCAAAACTTCTCTACCATTTAATGGCTAATTATAATTTGCTATGGAGTCTTTGTAAGTATAAGCTGTGGAATCTTATGTCCGGAACTGTGAATTGGCATCTGGAATTATGATACAGGTTATATTACTTGGTTCCAAATTTATGCAAGGACTTCACTGAATATATTTGGTTTTGCGTGCGCTGGATGATAATTTCTTGCTGGAAAAGAGTGTGAAGTTTCTTAAGGATCCAGAAGCTTAATTATAATTTCCTACTTTTTCCCAAGTCTTTCCCTTTTTGAACCTCATTTTGGGTTGTCTTGTTGAAACGGTTATTTTCCTTTTTTTTTTTTTTGGTTTTGGGGGTGGAAGGAGAAGGGAATAGATACCCTGTTATAAAATATAACTAAGTACCATGGTATTGAATTCTTAATCAATTTGTCAAAGGAAATATTCAACCTTAATTCTTTATCTTTCTTATTAGGTGAGGACTTTTTGGATTGTTATTTTGCTACCTTATGTATATATATATATATATATATTTCAAATTTCTGTGTCCCTTTTTGGTATATTCTCTTTTCCCCTTAATTTTTTATTTCTCGTGGATATATATATATATATTTCAAATTTCTGTGTCCCTTTTTGGTATATTCTCTTTTCCCCTTAATTTTTTATTTCTCGTGGATCAGTTTTCTCCTGGTCCTGTGTTTGCCTTAGAATCTTATTTGGTTTATCATGTGGATGCATGAAATCAAAAGCTAGCTTCTCAGTTTTTTTTCTTAGTGAATGATTGCTTTTAACTTTGAATTTGATATCTCTTCGTTGTGTTATTGCACATTTAGATCACTGCTACTTTTTTTGAATGTAGCAAGTTCATTGAGTACTTCCTTTTTTAAATCTTTTGTAATAAATTTGCTGTTAGCATGGTTACTATAGATGTTCATATGGTACCTCTATTACATGGCATACTTTTGAGTGGAAAGACACTGTAATCCTTGTTTAAAAAAATTAATACTTTTTTAAATTGGTATTATTTCTACCATATGAAGAGATCGAGCTCAATTCATCTTTACTGATGATAAGATATTGACTATTGGTGGTGGAAACATTTGAAGGAGGTTGCTAATCATTTGGTGGTTTTTGTCATCCTATGTTGTGTGAAAAGATTTATAAACTATATCGGACTTCTCTTCAATTTCAATATTTGTTTAATGCTGATGTGATGATACTTGATGTGAACATTGGTGTCTCCGGTAGCTTTTTGAGTTTCTTATATGAGTAGACTCCTCTCTCTCTCTCTCTCTCTCTCCATGTCCTCCTCCCCTCCTTTTGCTCTGTAGTCTTTTACTGGGTTATTTGATGTTCTCTGGCAATCCTACTAATCAAAACCAAAATGTTTGGTGAATAGGGAAAAATATGCTCTTTGTATGGTTTCTTGATTTTGTAAATGTTGGTAGATTCTTGTCTCTCTCTCCCCCCTCTTTCTTTTGCTCAGTGGTCTCTACTGGGTTCTTGGATGGTCTATAGATTAATTCTACTGATTAAAATCCTGAGCCAATAGGGAAGGAGCTGCCTTTGCACAGGCCAGTTATTCATAGGACTATCTTTTGTAAGTGGCAGTAATGATATTGAGATTTTGAAGTTTGTAGTGTTCCATCTGATGATAGTCACCATAATCTTGAAAAGAGAGCCTCTGATGGTGTTGGTGGGAGATGTCATTTTTTCATGCTAGGCTAAGCATTGACAATGAACTCCGTAATATAGCATGCGTGAGTTTAGAGAGCAAAGGGGATTATTTGGTTCTTCAAAGTTATAGCCTTAAGTTCATATCTTGCTTTTCATTAGCAGTTTTCTGCTTTGAATTCAATGGGCATATCTTCTAGCTTTTCTGATTTAATTTAACTTTACTGCTTAATGAGGCTTTTCTTTAAGTTTTTCCTGTTCAAGTGGGGTGTTTTATGTTTTACATTTGGTTACTTTGTGTCACTTTTTCAATAAATGTTTTCCATATTTTATTAAATTTTGTGTTGTCTACAAAGAAATAGCTCATCATGTTTGGTAAGCTGAAAAGGTTTCTCGTCAAACAAATTTTTCCACAATATTCTTTTAAAGATAATCATCTGAGGTTGGTACTAACCTCCAGTTCGCATATGCTTAATAAAAATCGTCTTCATTCTCGGTCCTCCTTTCAGTATCCAGGGGATCACAGTTGTCCTTTGGTGTCGCTATCTGGAGTCTTGAATGGTAAGCTCCAGTTCCCATATGCTTAATAAAAGTATGTTAATCCTTGGCACTTCCTTTCGGTATCCTGAGGATCACAAGTTGTCCTCTGGTGACTCCATCTGGACTCTTGAATGATCTATAGGCAGCAATCCAAATGTTCTGTTGAGTGGGATAAAAAGAAACATATTTTTTTATGAATCACTTTCTATTGGCTTTCTGTTTCTCTAAAGCTTCCATGCTGTTGGGTCTAAATGATAACTATTGGCACCAAAGTTTTAAGAGGTAAATATTGACATAAAATTTGGCGTACTCCATGGCTTCCTTTTCTTGGAGTCTAAGAAGCTGTTTTTTCTCAATTTGGGACATATTATGGTCAACTATTTCTCAACAAACAGGTAGAGTTATCTTAAGTCCAGTAAGGTTCTTTTTGCCCTTGGTTGCTGAATGGCATCCTTGTCAGACTAAAACCAATCACCTGTTCCCTGATTAGGCCATTTACTGTCATTTTTAAAATCTGTTATCACCCTTCCAATTCTATTGATATTATTTATGGCCACTTTATCATTACTGTCATTTGTGCCCAGTTGTTCCCATGCTGGCATTGTCTCAACATCCATATATGAGAATCAAGTTGACCATCTCATGGCTCCAAAAATTCTTATTTTTAGCTGGCTTGTGGTTTCTATGCATATCATTTGTAATTAAAATAAAATGCCATCTGTGTCAATAATTTTGTGTTTTGATGATTACTTGGTAGGTAATCATTAGTAGGTGATTTAACTTTTTATAGTATTTGCTTCACTTGCTAAATAGTGATCATTATAGGAAATTTTGTCAGTTTAATGTCCCCTTCTATTCTCTTTCTTTCCTCTCTCTGTTTCACAGTGTACTCTCTTGTTCTGCATTCCATGATCAGAGTGAGTTACAATTAGGGGTTAGGGTATTATCTACATTTTTATTTAAAAAAAAAAGGGTTAGGGTTTTTTAGAAATAAAAAAAAGGGGTTAGGGTATTATCTGGAAAAAGTAAGGAAATTCACATGTGATTTTTGTTTATATAATCTGCCTTGTTTTCATGCCAGAGTACTTAACTTATGTGCCTGCATGTTTGATGTGATAAGCTGCTTTTCTTTCAGAAGGGATCACATTCAATTATATTGACTTAGAAATAACTGGAAATTGTACCTTTTTAAATTAAAAAAACTGGTAAAAATACTATCATCATATTAACTTGGCATTTGAAACATGTTGTATGATTGACGACATAGGGAATTTTTTGTCCCCTTTTATAAACCTTATCTCGATGTAGCCCAACAATTTGCTGGTAGTTTTATGTTTTCATGTATGATTTATGATGTTCTTATCCAAAATCTGGGCTGTGTAGTTGCTGTTTCTTTCTGATTAAAGGTCTTATGTTTCATTAGGATATGTTGGTCAATGTGTCATGAAAAACTGAAGGATGTTAACTTCATTATAATATATTTTACTTATGAACTGAATTCTGATCGGTACTAATGCTTTTCACTAGGATATGTTGGTCAATGTGTCATGAAAAACTGAAGAATGTTAACTTCATTGTAGTATATTTCACTTATGAACTGAATTCTGATCAGTACTAATGCCCATGGGTTTTGAACTTTGCAGCACGTCTGGATGTCCATTTGGGGAGGGATGCCACTTTCTCCATTATGTTCCTGGTGGCTTCAAAGCTGTGTCGCAGATGCTTAATCTTGGGACCAATCCTGCTCTTCCATCTGCTCCCAGAAATGCAGTTGTCCCACCATCCTTTCCAGATGGCTCTTCTCCTCCAGCTGTAAAAACCCGCTTGTGTAACAAGTATAATTCAGCTGAGGGTTGCAAATTTGGTGACAAATGTCATTTCGCTCATGGTGAATGGGAGCTTGGCAAGCCAAGTGCTCTAGCTTACGAGGATCCTCGGGCAATGGGGCATGGCAGAATGGCTGGCAGGATTGAGCAGCCTCAGGGCCTTGCGGCTGCTGCTAGTTTTGGAGCATCTGCAACTGCTAAGATCAGTGTTGATGCTTCACTTGCTGGAGCAATCATTGGGAAAAATGGTGTGAATTCAAAGCAAATATGTCGCGTAACAGGAGCCAAGCTTTCCATAAGGGAGCATGAGACAGATTCTAATTTGAGGAACATTGAGCTCGAGGGTACATTTGATCAGATCAAGCAAGCAAGTGCTATGGTTCGGGAGCTTATTGTAAATGTTGGTGCAGCCTCCGCAATGCCTGCGAGGAACCACCACGGTACGACTGGGTCTGCAGCCTCGAACAACTTCAAGACGAAGTTATGTGAGAATTTTGCAAAAGGGTCCTGCACATTTGGAGAGAGGTGCCATTTTGCACATGGAGCCGAAGAATTGCGCAAGTCAGGGATGTAACTTTTGTCATATTTGATTTCTATTCTCTTCTAGGGTGAACTTTTGTTATTAGCATCTTGGTTAGCCTCGCGTGTTTATCAAGTTTTGATTTAGATGTGCAAAGATATAAACAGATTTTAGTTTTCTAATCATTTTTCATTGAAATTTGGATGATTTGTCTCATTTGAGTTGGTTGTCCCCTGGAAATTTTGTTGTGAACATGATCTTCCATGTTTGCCTTCTCTAAGCTTGGAGAAGAAGGAAATCAACCGCAGTTGCGAGAGGTAGGAGGCGGCACGAGGAAGAATGCGACTTCTTCTAAATGAAAAATGTAGATATTTTGGGAACTAAAATAGAGTTTTCAGTTCTTTTAATTTGATGTTGATGATATGTCATCACTTATATGTCACAATTTAGATACGTCATTGATCCCGTGTTTGAAAGTTAATGGTATTTGAGCGGTATATGTTATAATTTTGACACGTCATTGATCATGTGTTTGAAAGTAAACAGTATTAGGTTCGATCATTATTAGATAAATTAGATATATATATAAAAATAAATATTTATGTATAGACATTATTATTAGATAGATAAAGAATAATAACATAGAGATTTATATAAAAAAAAATTATTTTTGAAGTCAATAAAATATTTATTTTGCCTTCCAATATTTTTAAAGAAAATAAATTGCATCTATTTATTAATTTACCAATTCATCATTACGTATTTAATATTAAAAAATTATGAATTTGCAAAAAAAGAAATTTTTTTTTAAGAGAGTTATTTAATGTTAAGTAATTAAGTTGATTTGATTATCTTAAAATATTAAACTTATAAGAAAAAAGTATAATATAAATGTAATTATTAAATTTTTTTCTATAATCAAACTTTATAAATCTAATTTAACGGCTTAAGTTAACATATTTGAATAAAATAATAAATTACTTAATACATCACATGTTATATTAATAGTTTGTGAGCTATTAAAAATAATTTTTAGAATTAATTTTTTTTTAAAAAAAAAGTAGTATAGTTTTTATATAATAAAAAAAAGAATTTGATATTTTGGAGAGTAAAAATACTACAAAATTTTATAAAAAAAAAAAAAAATATTATCCAAACACACCATAAAAACCAAAGACTTTGACTCGCTCTCCCCCAAAGAAGAAGATATTCTCAATCCTCATCAGCCAGCCAACGGTGTAAATTGTCGTATACACCAATATATCGTGCTCGACAGTACATGCTAACATTATCCCTAACACGTGTCGCACGTGACATTCCTTTGTTACTGGATGTGTGCTCTTGTACGCGATTTTTCTCATAAATCCAAACAGCATTGAAACCTAATTTTCAATTTCGCGTTATTTTCCCTTCTCTGTACCCCCCCCCCCCCGCCTTTTCCTTTTCTCCCACTATCCTTCTTCGTCTTCGAACCCTAGGGTTTTCTCTTCCTCCTCCTCCTCCTCCTCTCTACTCACTCTTGCTCTAGGCTCTGTCTGTTTGCTATACTTTACCTCTGTTTCTCTTTCTCTCTCTCTATATATATATTTCTGGTTTGCTTTTGGATCTCAGTATTCGCTCCGGAGAAATGGAGTTCGGTGGTGTTCGTAAGAGAGGGAGGTATGATGCCGCTTTTAATGGAAACGGTGGTTTCAAGAAATCCAAGCAAGGTTCGAATTCTTTTTGCTGCTGCTTCTTTTTCTCCCTCTCTCTGTTTTTATACTTTTGTATATGTGCGTATTTAATATCCATATGCTCTACAGTGGCGTTTTGCGTGTTCATAAGCTGTATACTTGTCTGCAGAGTGGCTATCTAGTGGGTCGGAAGGTTTCAAGTTCTTTATTTTTGGTTTTGGGGAATAATATCAGTTTTGCTTTTAAGCTCGATTTAGTTACTTAAAACTTTTATAAAAAAATGCGAACGGTCAGCTTGAAATAGAGTGAAGTTAAGCATTTGATCTAAACTTTGTCAAAACACCTAATAAAAAGGTTCTGTTCATGTAGTTTGACACCACTCGTGCTTGACTTGAAGTTACAACCTCATGGGCGGGGGGAGGTAGATGCTTTCCTGTACTTGAAATCGTTATGGAATTCATCTTCTCTCTTTTGCTACCCTTCCCATTCGTTTCACGTTTTGGAAAGAGTAATATATGTAAATGAGTTATGTTTGACTAACAATCATTTTGTCATTAGTGAAAATAACTGGGAACAGGGTGTCAATTATTCTTTAAAGCTCCAAAATTAATAACCCACTGAAAATTTTAACTCAAATAAATTAATTAATGTTCTGCAACAGAAATGGAGTCCTTTCCATCTGGTATAGGAAGCAAATCGAAGCCATGCACAAAGTTTTTCAGGTTCAAATCTAAACTTATGTAAAATAAATAGTCTAAATGCAGTTCCATCTATTTTTAATATTTATAATTTACAGGAGAAATTATTTGAGAGAATATTCTCAATTAAAATTTATGTCATTTGAACTAATGGATTGGCACTTAAAGTTGTGATACAGGTTATACTTTTTGTTCTAATCATGATAACAAAGATCACTGAACAGAAATGGTTGATATTTGAGGGAACAGTTGGGTTAAGTATCTGCTGGGCAATACTGTAACAGAAAGCTGTTTTTTGGAAGTGGAAAACTTGTCTACCCTATAATAGCTAATTAAAATATATGCTGTGGGATCTTTGTAAGTAGAAGTTGCGCAAAAAGATCAATGAATTGGCATCTGAAATGGTACAGGTTATATGATACTTGCTTCAATATGCAAGGGAAGTATTTAATGCATCACGACTGTTGCATGAAACTGCAGCATATTGTTCTGTGGGAAAATATACTGGTTATGAAAGTCTAAAAATGTTCTTACTTGTAGAACCTGGTTTTCCCTAATTGTGTTGCATATTATTCTTTTATGAAGTTTGACATCATACTATTATCAGCTGAAACATATTTGGAGATTCTTCTTGTCGGTTTGCCCCTAAAGTATAATTTTTTATTTTGTCCCTAATAAAGGAATTATTTTTTCCTCACATTTCAAAAAAAAAAAAGAAATTACTTTTTCCTAAATTTGGCTGGCACATGATTCTGTGTTTTTCTTTAAACACTAGTGTTCCTCTAGATTCTTGTTTGTTCATTAGAGAAAATTATCTGGCTTGTTGATGTAGGTGAATTAAATCTAAAAAAATTTCAAAGGTTTTGAGTGCTCCTTGTTTCTGAATTTGACATCTATTCTGTAATTTTTCTTTTCATACTTATCTAAAAAAAATTATTTTGCTTTTTGTACAGTTAAGAAGCTATGGTTTTCTTCTAAGATATGAGGTTCAGTGGAAGGCACATTTGATGTTTGTTATTGTTTACTGAAAAATGTTGTTAGCATATGAAGATGTTGGCATATTAATGGATGTTAATATAGTAGTTATCAAGATTGAAGATCTTTATTATGTTTATTTAAAGAAAGAATATCAATATGTTGTTGTTTCCAAATTCTTATATGATTGATCTTACTAATCTGGTATGTGAAGATTTATAGCTAAAAGTAATATATATTGACTGCATATTAACCTATGTGGTTGAAAACTTGGTCGAGATTTCCCTCATTTTTGGTTTTCTTTGTAATTTGTTGCATGTGAGGCTCTGAAAAGAGCCTTGTTCTGGGGGTAAAAGAGAGCTGAAAATATGTTTTCTTGATTTTGGTGCATTATAGGGGGTTGATTAACGAGATTGACAAACAATTCATAGATATTGTGGAGTATATAGTTTTCAGTAGCCTGTTAAGTTTCTGAGATTTGTAGATTCTTCTGGCATCTTTCTTTTCCTTTCTTTTAATGGTGTTTAACATCCTCCAGTGGCTTTTTGAACCAATCTAACTTTCTAAGAACTCTAGGTGAATGGAAAAGAGAGAGCTTTTTGTTGTTCTTGACATGGTTAAGAGCTGTATTCTTTTAATAAGGAATGATAGTAGCAGCATTATTTGCTTTAGGTAGCCATTCCAGTGGAGGGAACTAAAAATAGTTATTAGGCAGTAAGTCTTCTATTAGTATCCACAGTAGCTCTGAATTTTGTTTCTTTTTTTTGTTAGGAGTAGCTTCCAGAATTGGTATGATGTCTAGAAGGGTAGTATATGAGATGTAGGGGAGCAAGGTTGATATGGAATTAAACTTGCAGTTTAAGTTTTTGAGTTACAAATACATGGCTGTATAAGTGCAACCAAGAAAATTATACAGTGGATTCTTGTTAATTGATTAGACTTATTTCATTTTGGATTATCTTATCAAAGATTTTAATTCGCTGGACATGTATGGAAAACTTGCCCATGCTTTTTTCATGGATTCTCAGTAACATTGTTCAGAAATAATGATTTTGGTTAAGATCACTGTCATATGAATGTGCAGTTAATTTTTAGGATGGATTAATTAGTTGGGAAAGTATTTGTCATGGTACTTGCACTACTTTGGGGTTTTTCATTTTTGGAGCTTGCGCAACATCTATACAGAACTTCAAAATACTGACACGTGTCCCAAGAATAAAAAGGTTTCAAAGTATTGAGAGGATTAATATATGAAATATGATTTCTTTTTGGTATGTAATGCTGGATCTGAGAATGATACCATTCAGGATTTGGCATTTTGCAATAAATCTGATGGGAAAAGAAGTTTGAATTGCATGTTCAGTTAAACCATGTCCCGAAAACTTTCAAAGTATTAAGAGGATTAAGATATGATGTAAAGAATTTTCTTGGAGCATGTAGCACGCGAACAAGCATGATATTTTTTCAGGATTTAGTGCTTTGCAATAAATCTGATAATGGAAAAGGAAGTCGTGAGTTCTGTGAAACCACTATAGATGGTTTGTTAACCAAATTTTATTTGGATGGCATCAAGGAGTTGCATACGGATGGTTACATTATGTAATAATGATTGCTTTATAAATTGAAGGGAGTCATGCAAGATCATTATTATTTTCTAACTTTCTGTTGGCTTATATTAAATCAATTTCTTATGATGGCTGGGTGATTAGCAATTGCTTATTTGAAAAAAGTGCTTATCAATTGCCAGAGTGGAAAGGTGTTTAAAAAGGATGGTTGAGTTCCTTTTCACGGAGTTCCATCCAAAAGAAGGATGCACTGCCAAGTTTGTTTCTTTGCTTGAGAGGCAGCTGCTATGTAATTTTAATAGTTGATCATTTGAGGAAGAAAGTGAAAGTGATAGTTAACCATTTTTATCTTGTTATTTCAAAAAATATTTTTATCCACCAATTAGGTATGGGTTAATACACTATCCATTAACATTACTTGATAACTACTTTTTTGTTCAGTAGCGAGATGTTCCAACCATTATTATCTTTTCACTAGAGATAACAGAACTGTCAAGAATCTTCTCTTTGGGTTGTCTTGGGAGTAAGAAATGGGAGAGTTTTTAAATGTGTTGGAAATTGATATTGAAGATAGGTCGCGTAATGGACATCAATTTGATAATGAGGAAGTCATAGAGTTCAAACTGTATTTGTTGGTGTTATTAGTTTTGCTTTTTGTATACAGGCTCCACTGTGGCATAGCCTTGTAGGTTAGTACTTCTCACTTTATGAGTGAGGTGAAGGGTTCTATACACCACTTTTGTTATAAAATAGTAGCTTTTTACATGTCATGTGAAAATCTTTTGCCTCTTATGTTGTATATGGAAGGTGACGTCCATATGAAGGCGAATGCTATTGCCTGTTGATTTTGCCTGCAGAATGAATACATTCTAAATCAGGTTGAAGAAAGGGCGTAAATCATGAATCATCATTTTTTTTATATGACTCAAATATTCTAGCTGTTAAAAGAAAAATCTGAGATATGAATTAATATTTAACAGAGATTATTTGGTTTTTGCAATTTGTTTTTTGCATTAGTTTTAAATCCTGAATTCATAGTCCTGTTCTCTGCACTCTGCTAGGCTTACTGTGCTTATCTGTAAAAGTGGTTTACTTTTCTCTTTTCTATTTCCTTGGCTAAATGTAACATTAGTTTAAGCAAGTAAACATATTCACAAAGTATGTGTGGTTTTCATTTTTAATGTCATTTTTTAATTAAGCATGTCTTTTTATTTTTCTACTTAGAAAGTTTTTTTTTTTAAAAATTCTTTTTGTTTCTTTTTTTCACATATATTTTCATTTTGTTGTTTGACAATAGCAGTCATGATACCTGCTGTTATTATTCTATATATACGACCTTACTATTTCCTAAATGAACGTCTCTTGTATTGTATTTTAGCATATAGGCTTGTTGCATAAGTTTTTGCCACTTCCTTAAATTTTGGATGTCTTTTTTATTACTTTCGTATAAATTCCAAGTAACCTGAATTTTCTGGAACTTGGGTTCTGCCTGTTTGAGGTCATCCTACTGAGGTTTTTGGCCAGTCTGAATTCTGAATTCTATTGTGGTGGTTACCTGTTTATTTAATGTTAAAGCCCACAAATGAGGCTTCTCTTCCCTCCCAAAAAAATGTGGAATGATGTCGGCTGTTTAATTATCAGTGCATTTCAACTTTGCTGTTTTTCCTGAAATATTTTGATGCTGAACTCCTTGCTTTGCTGTTTGTCTCCTGTTTTCCCTGAAATTAAAATGCTAGTGGGCTTTTCATTTTAGTTTTCTCTAGAAATAATTGAGCATTGGTCTTTCAGAACTTCATTGGACTTGGCTCCCTCTGCACGAGTTATCCAATCTTTTTATAGATTGCAGTCAACTGTTTCTTGTCAACAAAGCAGTGCTAAATTGTATTCAGTAATCATTAGTTTACAATTAGTGATTGAGACAACCTCTGTGACATGGTCTCTGTGTAATACTTCCTAGTTACCTACACTGTGATCCAATCTGAGGCCTGAACCTCCTGTTTTCTTTAATTTCTGTACTGCAAAACGAAGTTCTGCTGCCAACTACAAAATTGTCATTGATGAATAATTGTGTTCTTATATCTATACTTTATAATGTAAATAGTTCCATATTTAAGTTGTTTAAATTACTGTTTTAGTTTCAGATGTAATGGCTATATTTTGACACATCAAGGTTGGTCCTCTAATGGTTAAATTGTCTTTTTATGAGGCTCTTTTTTTGTCTGCTGCTGGTTTGGTATTTCTCCTTCTCTTGCCTTCTAGCAGGGAGGGCAAACCTTTGGGCCATAATACGATACTGGGGGCAGACACCACCACATTTTGGTTCTCAAAGGAACCTATGTATCAGGGAAGCTCAGCTGTTCCTGGGGGCTACTTGTGAAATTTTTTTAACACTTTGGCAGGAATGGTTGCTTGTTTAGTGCTTAGTGTGCAGATTTTGAGATGAAATTTTCTGGTATTAGTATGATGGGTTATTGTAGGAATTTGGTTTTAGGGTGCTTTATAGTGAATGAAGAAAATCAATTAATCATTTCTATTATTTTTTCTTTATTTATGTGCCATGGTAGGATCTGTTTTTCCAAGAGCTTATCTTTTTACGTGCTTTTAGGGTGTAGTGGTGTTTGTGATTATATTTAATGCTATGGCTTGTTGTAGATGGTAATAATTCCAATAATGAACGATATTCGTATCCCTTGGATATATCTTACCTGTAGCTAGGTAGACTACCTACAGGAGTTGGTGTTGTGATTTGTGGAGTTCTAGATGAAAATCTGGTGTGGGCTTTTGGGCTGGAGTGGGGTTTCGTATATCCTTTATCTTGAAAATTCATGAGTCATGGCAATATGTTGTCAATTACATTATAAAATATGAAAGTTGCCTTAATTGTATCAGAGCATCTATGTGAAATAGAATGCTGATTAGTGGTCATTGGTGTTGTGATTTTTGCAGCACTTCTGGGTGCCCATTTGGCGAGGGATGTCACTTCCTGCATTATGTTCCTGGAGGCTTCAAAACTGTATCACAGATGCTTAATCTCGGTGGCAATGCAGCTATCCCACCTGCTCCCAGGAATCCAGTTGTCCCACCGTCGTTTGCAGATGGTTCTTCTCCAACAACTGTGAAGACCCGCATGTGTAACAAGTATAATACAGCTGAAGGTTGTAAATTTGGTGATAAGTGTCATTTTGCCCATGGTGAATGGGAGCTTGGCAAGCCAAGTGGTCCAGCCTATGAAGACCCTCATGCCATGGGACCAGGGCGAATGGGTGGAAGGATTGAGCCCCCTCAAGGACATGGTGCTGCAGCTAGCTTCGGAGCATCAGCAACTGCGAAGATTAGTGTTGATGCCTCTCTTGCCGGAGCAATCATTGGGAAAAATGGTGTCAACTCGAAGCAAATCTGTCGTGTAACTGGAGCAAAACTCTCCATAAGAGAGCACGAGACAGATCCTAATTTACGGAACATTGAGCTTGAGGGTACATTTGATCAGATCAAGCAAGCGAGTGCCATGGTTCGCGAACTCATTGTCAATGTCAGTTCAGGTTCCGGAATGTCCATGAAGAACCAAAGTATGCTTGGTTCTGGACCATCAAACAACTTCAAGACTAAGCTTTGCGATAACTTCACAAAAGGGTGCTGTACCTTCGGGGACAGGTGCCACTTTGCACATGGAATGGAAGAATTGCGCAAGTCAGGGATGTGATTTCGTATTGTTTTATTATTGTTTCTGTTTTAGGGCGAACTCGTGTTTACTAGCTTCTTATTTGGCGTGTGGATAATGAGTTTTGTTTCTCATATCTAACAGATTGCAGTTTCTTCGGAAGTTCTCCTAGTATTCTTTATTAGAATATTTCATCATTTTGGTCATTGTTGAATAGATGGTTCATGTTCTGGTTATGGCCCTACGCCTGTGTATTGTGCCTTCTAATTGCATTGAACTTGGGGATGTTTACTGTGGTGCCGATATAATTTAGTGGCAGAGTGTCATTTTGACGTGGGTGAAAGTTATCGGTTTGAGTTTTATTATTCCTAAATCCAATGAATGTGAGGTGAGCAACTGGGCAAGTATGCCCGTGATTCCGGTGGGCTGACGAGTGACCTATTACGGTGCAGCCCACTGGGTTAGGCCTGGCCAGACTTGGCCCAATTTCTTTTCTGTTTTAAATGCTGTTTATAATTTTTCTGTTAAAAATATTATGAAAACAACTTTCAATAAAATTAATCTTCAAATAATATTTTTAAAAAAATTACCATAAAAATTTTCAATAGAAAATATAATATTGTGAATAAATGTTGAAAGGATAACAATTTAGAAAATAATTAATGAATATTATAAAAAAAAAATGTACTGAAATGAAAATATAAGCCTATATTTATAGTGTAGAATGTATAATAACTATATAGAATGAACTATAAAAATTGGTATTTAATAAGATTAGGGCCAAAATATGCAAAGTATTTCTTCTGGTTTCTATGATTCCCAAGTAAATTAGGATGATGGAATTGTATCTATACACATTATAAGTCATAGAAAACTGAAACTAATATATAGATATATATGGGTATAGTATATTGTACTTCAAAAAAATAATATATAAAACTCAACCACAACTTATCACATGAACTTAAAAACTTCAAAAAGAGTTGGGTTATTATCTTCTTACGAAAAACATTCAGAGTACCAAAACAAAAAAGCCATGAACATGAAATGAAGAACATAAAGAGTTTTAAGCAACAGTCACCAAACATTATTTTCAAACTCAAATTGAAATTCAAATCCAAATCCAAATTTCACACATACACATACATACGTACGTATGTGTGTATGTAAATTTCAATATCAGTTTCCCAATTCAGGCAAAGCGTTGGGAAGCTTCATCATTGGCATTGGAGCTTGAGCCTTGCTGATTGTTTCTTCTATGGAGCTCCAGGATTCTTTCAGCGTCTCTGACTTTCTTCTTCTCCACATCCTTTCGGTACTTGATACCGCATGCATTACACAGAGTCTGTAAAAAAAGAACCTCCTGTAATTAATGTATTCAAACAAATATTCATGAATGTATAGCTATGCCCATAAATATATATATATATATATATATAGAGAGAGAGAGAGAGAGAGAGAGAGGTACCTTAGGACCAAGAGGACCACGACGCCACATGGGAGTTTCAGTGGTGCTACACTTGAAATTACTGCACCTTCTACCACCATTAGAAGCAAAGCAGTCCCTGGCTCGTTGAGCTCTCCTTGGTGGGACATCAATCAGCACCACCTGGTTCAAAATAGGTGCGGTAGAATCCGCAGGCTGTAACACTAGAGGGTTCGACGTATAGGGTTGTGCCGTCGTCGGAAACAGCATCGGAGCAACCGACGGCGCCGGAAGGACGGCGGCTGGATGTTGGGGTGGTCCGAACTGGTAGGGCATGGTGTTTCCTGCAGCTGCTGCACGCTGAGCGTTGGCCTGAGCTATCCATTCACTTGTTGGGATCACATTGGTTCCTCCATGAATCCTGTTTGGTCCTAATGGAACCTGGTTCATCATAGCAGGCATCCTGTTTGGTCCCAGTGGCCCCTGGTTCACCATTCCCGGCATCCTGTTCGTACCCTGTTCATCATCACACACCACATGTCTCATACATATATATGGAGATATATATATCTTCTAGAGTTGAGAAATTTTTGCACTAGCTTTGGTGCACGGACTCTAAACCTCTCTCTCTCTATACATATACATGTATATGCATATATACATTCATCATCACACATGTTTCATACATCATTCAAATGAAATATGCACGTAGACTCTAAATCTTTTGGTGCATAGACTCTAAAATCTCTCTCTCTCTCTCTCTCTCTATGTATATATATATATATGTACATATATATTGATCAACTCGAATTCATAATTTTTTTATGAATAAGATGATATACTGTCTGTTAAGATCAATAATGATTGATATTCTTATACATAATTTGAAACAAAGAGAATATATTATAATTTCTAATTTTAATTCACATCAATGGGATAAATAAGAGATTAAACTATCATGTTTAATAATAATATACATGCATTTTAATTATATATGAATATCATAATGGCACCTGGTTCATCACAGCAGGCATCCTGTTTGGTTCTAATGGAACCTGGTTCATCACAGCAGGCATCCTGTTTGGTTCTAATGGAACCTGGTTCATCACAGCAGGCATCCTGTTTGGCCCTAATGGAACCTGGTTCACCATAGCCGGCATCCTGTTTGGTCCTAGTGGCCCCTGGTTCGTCATAGCCGGCATCCTGGTCATACCCTGTTCATCATCACACACCACATGTCTCATACATCATTCAAATGAAATACATACATATATATATGTATAGATATATATATATACATATATATATCTTCTAAAGTAGAGAAATTTTTGGACTAGCCTTGGTGCATAGACTCTAAATCTCTCTTATGTAACCTCATTATATCTAGTATTTTTTTTTTAGTACTAAAATTTATATATTTATCAGATATATAAACATTCACAACAAAGAGTATAATTTAAAATAAATTTATAAATTTTTTTTTAATAATTATTCAACTAAATATTAATTATATTAAATAATTTAGTTTCAAAATAGTATAAACATTATAAAAAAAAATCAACGAGCTGATTTTATTTAGTATTTTTTAACAAAAAT